GTGTTCTGTCTTACATATTTTGCGTAGCCTAGAGTAGCCTGAGATAATTATGAACAGGTTATAAAAAAGTTTCTCAGTATTCCTGAAGCTTTGCAGCTATTTTTCACCGGCAAATAGGGATATTTTATAGGTAGGTTGAGCTAGAAGATTCCTACTTCTTTACGCTTTCCATTAGAACAAAGTCTTGCGAGTCTCATAGTAAAAGTTATCTTTTCGACAAAATATGTTATTCGGAAAAACAGCATCGTTCTTAACACTGCAGTTGATTTAAACTTTTATTTATTTGAGTGAGTTCACTCGTATAGAAACGTATTATAGCGCTTACTGGCAGAAAAAGAACGAGAAAATACTCCAGTTTTTCGCCACGTGTTGCCCCTGACTATTTGGGACATATTTTGTTTCAAACCTATGTCGTGATTTCCTACTAACATCCACTAACACCAAAAACAATCATTAATCATCTCAGCTTTTTAACCATTTTTACAAATAAACACCCACTAACACCCAAAAAAGTACGCCAAGTTGATCTACATGAATCTCTTAGTCGACTGGTACGATATTTGATCGAAGAAAACATTTTAGTGGTTTTTTGACATAAGTTTTAAAAAAGTTAATTATTTTCTCATGTCGTATCTATAGTAAAAGAACTTTTTTCCAGGTTCAGAGTCAAGATATATACCATTAGGAAGCCCATGAAGTTCTCTACAAAACCGCTACTTTGCATTTTTACAAAAGTTACTTATTACATTTTTTATTCGATTTGACTATCGATCACATATTCGTTTAACGAAACGCTTTGATTGACTTGATGCTTCTGTATTGTTTGTTCTTACACAGTGTCACGTGGATGAAGTTCTCTCTGCTTACTTAAACTTCTCTATCTCTCTCATCACCATCTCTCTCAGTTTTTTATTTTTTTTTGTTTTCTTTTACTCTCTTATCTGTTTTATTGATGTCTCATTTTGTCGAATAGATCCAGGCATATAATGATCTTACTTCGATTTGCCTGCTCTTCTTAGCTTTGTACTTTTTTTTTCCAGTTGGCGTTAAATAAATAAGAAACAAGTTTAAAAAAAACAAAAAAAATCTCACCGATAAGATCGAATTTTCCTATTGATAATAAGAGCACTAGATTATTTAATCGTATAATTTAATCTAATCGTAGATTCGATTTTTTTCTTTCGAAATCTGACAAGAAATTAGTTTTGGTGTTGCCGATCTAATCTTGTGATTGGTCTTCGGAATGGGAGGGATAGCGAGTAGTAAAGGCAGTCGCAGACCGCCGATCAACACAGAAATGTGTGGTTCAGGACAAAGTAGAACTTCTGGTTAGTAAGTATGTGAGCAAGGGAAAGCATCATGCCAGTGAGATGTGTAACGAAAGTAGCTCCAGCTCATGGTAAGTGATCATTAAGAAAAAACTGCCTCGGTCAGAAGAAAGTTCGGCCAGTTAAGGAATGCGCGTCGAAGCAAGCGCCGAAGGAGCGCAGCGAAACAAGCATTGTGTAAATTGTTATGTAATGGTTCTTGTTTTATCAACCTTTTAGCTGCTTACAGTAGTTTCCCATCGAGTTCTAACATTCTGCTTCGGTTTTGCTTAGTTTCCTTTTCGCAGATAAATGTGTCTATCTGTCCGCTTCTAATATCCGTGTCTGTCTGTCCATCTAGGCTGCGGACATACATACATACATACAGGCATTTTAACTCGAGAAGACCCTTTCCTTTACAGAGAATATCATTTTCATCCAAACAAGCTGAAATGGAATTTTCGACCAATAGAATCGATCCTACAGCTCGCTCATAGTCATTTTCTAATTCTCCATAGTCGAATACCGATTCCATATCATTTTCATCCAAACAAGTTGAAATGATTTGTGTGTCTGTCTGCCGCCAATAACTTGTGTGTCGCACTTTGCGGCTGCGGACATACATACATACAGGCATTTTAACAAGACCCTTTCCGCGAAAGCTGAAAAAATCGTCCTCTGAAGAAGGGAGAGGGCGGGTGCTACTTGTGAGGAAACTTTCAATCACAATAAAGTTATAAACAGTACTGAAAGCACTATTTTCTGAAAGTATGCAGTCGATAGTACATAAATCCGTCAGAAACGGAAAATCGAAAACAGTGTCAAAAATCGCTTTCTGAAGGAAGCAGGGAACAAAGACCTTAAGAATACCTACAAAAAATAAAAGTTCTCTCTCATCGCCAATGTGGTCCATTCTGGCCCATTCCAGCCCATTCCAGAAACGCTTTTTCTCCCTTGGATAAATTGCTATTGCTATTTTCTTTAGTTGTCTAATTGTCATTTTCATCAGTTTCCCGAATAATTCTCTATATTTCATTCAAATGGCAAAGTTTCGAAGTGTAAATGTTGGAACCACTCTCACTCAGATGAGTGCAACTGTTGATGTAACACGCGTAATCTCACACTTGTCAATTATATGAAGAGCACTCGAGAATTGGAATAAAATTATGAATTTTTTACAGCTTTCGGACATGAAAAAGTGTCTGAAACATATGCTTCATGGAGTCAGACGCTTTTCTGACTAGCATTATATATAGTGGCGGCGCCAGGATTTTGCTCTGGGGTGGAGATTTTGGGAACACTGAAAAAAATTTTCAGAGTGGGCTTAACTTCCTTTCGGGTGGGCTCAGCCCACCCTAGCCCACCCCTGGCGCCGCCACCAATTATATATCGGAAAAACGTCTGACTATAGGTCGCTAAGAGGACTATCACGATTTACGATGTAGTTTACTTTCAAACATGTGTATGACGGGTTGTGTTTACTATAGCGGGAAAGAATAGCTTTTAATAAGAGAGGCATCAATCAATGTCATATAAAGGGTGAGTCGAAATGTACAAATTAAATTTTGAGCAAACGTTATATGAAATTGTTTGTTCTAATATCGCTAGAAAATTCGATCCCTAGTCCAACATCTTGAAACCAAGTTCTTGCCCAAGATCTTACGTTAAGATTTGGCACTAGATCTTGAAAAAATGGGTACAAGATCTCAGGACATTTTTGCACCCAAGATCTTACGCAAGACCTTGGGTACAGATATTTCTTGATATCTTGTACCCAGGATCTTGAACATTTGAAAAATCGTCATATTTCAAAACTAACTTTTTTCTTTGCATTTTTTGAACAAGTGTTGGGAACAAAAGAAATTTACCGCTCAGTGGTGAACATTTCATCCGCTAGGACGAACGATCCCTTATGCCTCCCTGATGGAATTTTGACTCTGCTGTCGACTAAAATATAGTAACATTAGACACAAAACAGAATGTTTATATATAGGATGACATCGCCAAAATAAGACGGTGAATGATAACCAATGATTACTCAAAGATCTTTGGTACAAGATGTCAAAATATTTCTGTATCAAAGATCTTGAGCCATGATCTTGGGTACAAGATCTTAGGTCTTTATATATGTCCTGGACTGCAGAAAAGGCTGCTTAGTTTATTTCTTTTCTGCATCAGTAGATAATTCGGATCATCTTTGTGAATATTTACTCTCTCGCAGTAAAAAAAAATTGTCTTTTTTCCCCTTGCGATTGACTTATCCATGGAATATTTAACAGCCATTTTTCCGTGTTTTGCGTATAGACAGAAGGACACACACGCAGAGAACCATTTTGTAAGACTCTAGACGGCACTCAAGATAATTTCTTGATTTAATCTTTCTTCATAACATTTCCAATATTGATTCTACAGTTATTCGACAGAAATTATGCTCTGTGTGTAATCATGAAGTCGTTCAACCCAATTATTCTTTAATAAGTACGTCTGTTAATGAATATATCCACAGAGAAGAACAATTCATAAGCAAAAATAAGTATGATTCAAAATTAATAAGAAGCCCACGAACATATATTTGCAACATATTGCGTAATTACATGAATGTGTAACCTTCTTCTTTTATCCTGTGCTTTCAAAATGGAGTTGTATTCGACTTAAACCTCGGGTAGAAACTGCTGATAGGTGATACGTGAAAAACGTGCATAAACGTCACGAGAAATAGATAAAAAACATGATTCTCTTGTGTTCAATCCATTTTTCGTCATTCTTTTGCTTCGTATAGAAGCTTTTGTGCATATACGTTTCTCTCCTTAATTCAGTACTTCTTTTTTTAGTTTTTAAATGAATTAAATTGAATGAAGATATGTCAATCTGCTACTAATAATTCTCTAATCTATTATCCATTGCAACTATCCTAAATGCCCAAATCAGCTAATTATTGTTAATAACTGCATGTCTCGCTTCAGTCAAATTACATTGTATGCAAGTTTAAAGGAACCGTGGTAAACTAGAGAATTTTCAACCACAACATCTGATTGACAACGGTCAGAGTGATGTTCGAACTAGGAGTGGGACAGTTCAAGTTCATATAGTTCCTGAGAACTGGTCACTAGTTCAAATACTATTTAGACATATGTCGAGGTCTAACTTTGGCGTTATTCAGATTTAAAGAATGTGTGAAAGTACTATAAAATGAGGACACGAAATTAAATGAGCTCGGAAAAAAGAGATATTTGAGCTCAGTTAATTGGCTTTAAAATGAGAGAAATGAGCTCGGTTGTAATAAAATTATATTTTTTTATATAAATGAGAGTTTTGAGCTCGGAAATTTATTAATCTAATAAAAAAGAGATATTTGAGCTCGAAAATTAATTTATACTCTGAAAAGAGACAAATGAGCTCGGTATATTTTATTTTCGTCGGTAAAAAGAGAGAAATGAGCTGGGTAATTAATTTATGAAAATTAATTAATGATTTTGTATTTTGTGAGTAGTAAAGTATATTTAATAAGAGAAAAATAGTTCAACAACAGAAAAGTGCTAGATTACAATAGTTTTTCACCAATATTCAATCTTTTGTTAAAGCTAATTTAACTTTCTTTGGACGACCTTTTCCCCTTCTTATCCCAAGTGCCTGTGGAACTTTACGATGATCCCACATCATTATTAAGCCCAATGAATGAATGCAAGAGTATTCTTTAAGGCCATATTTACATGAGCAAAATAATGGTGGAGTTAAACTAGAAAAATCAACTAAACGCACAGAGTTTAACCAGTCGATAAATTCACCGTACGAATTCCAAGACATGCTATGATAATATTGTACCCATAATGATGTATCCATTTTTGGCTCAGAAGAAGGTACAACATAACTAGCTGCACCTAAGTGTAATACTTTTGTTCGATCAAGTTTTTGTAACCATTGATATGCCCTAGTTGCCAAATCATTAGTAAATTCAATTTGAATAGCAAATGGTGTATTCGCGCTAGCTAATGACCAGTCATATAACATAC